CTTCTTCGGTGGCGTTTAGCTCTCCAAGATTTTGATTTTGAAATGCAACACATTTCAGGAGCTTCTAACAAAGTGGCTGATGCACTCTCCCAGGAAAGTTTCCCAGAATCAACTGGTTAAAAATTGTTCTTGGAATGTGGGACATATTGTTAGTTTTTATATAATCAGTAGTATGTATAAAGGTGCATGTGTCTTATTAACTCTGTTTTCTCCTAGAGCTCCAGGAAGAAATCACAGCCAGTGTGGAACCGGCTGTCCAACTCTATCTGTGATTTGGGGGGGCGTGTCATAACTATAAAGGGAAGGGTAACAGCCCTCCTGTGTACAGTATTATAAAATCCCTCCTGGCCAGAGACTCCAAAATCCTTTCACCTGTAAAGGGTTAAGAAGCTCAGGTAACCTGGCTGACACCTGACCCAAAGGACCAATAAGGGGACAAGATACTTTCAAATCTTGGTGGGGGGGGAAGGCTTTTGTTTGTGCTCTTTGTTTTTGGGGAGAGTTTGCTCTTGGGACTGAGAGGGACCAGACATCAATCCACGCTCTCCAAATCTTTCTAAACAAGTCTCTCATATTTCAAACTTGTAAGTAAACAGCCAGGCAAGGCGTGTTAGTTTTATCTTTGTTTTCTCAACTTGTAAATGTACCTTTTACTAGAGTGTTTACCTCTGTTTGCTGTAACTTTGAACCTAAGGCTAGAGGGGGTTCCTCTGGGCTCTTTAAGTTTGATTACCCTGTAAAGTTATTTTCCATCCTGATTTTACAGAGATTATTTTTACCTTTTTCTTTAATTAAAAGCCTTCTTTTTAGGAAGCTGATTGATTTTTCCTTGTTTTTAGATCCAAGGGGGTTGCATCTTGATCCACCAGGAGTTGATGGGAGAAAGGAGGGGGAATGGTTAATTTCTCCTTGTTTTAAGATCCAAGGGGTTTGGATCTGTACTCACCAGGGAATTGGTGAAGAGTCTCTCAAGTCTACCCAGGGACGGGAATTAGCACATTGGGAGTGGTGGCAGCGGACCAGATCTAAGCTGATAGTTAACCTTAGAAGTTTTCAGGCAGGCCCCCACATCTGTACCCTAAAGTTCAGAGTGGGGAAGGAGCCTTGACATATGCCAACAGGCGACCTCGTTCCCGTTGGCATAGAGCAGGGGTAGGCAACCTATGGCACGCGTGCCGAAGGCGGCACGTGAGCTGATTTTCAGTGGCACTCACACTGGCAGGGTCCTGGCCAGCAGTCCGGGGGGCTCTGCATTTTAATTTAATTTTAAATGAAGCTTCTTAAATGTTTTAAAAATCTTATTTACTTTACATGCAACAATAGTTTCGTTATATGTTATAGACTTATAGAAAGAGACCTTCTAAAAATATTAATGTATTTCTGGCACACTAAACCTTAAATCAGAGTGAATAAATGAAGACTCGGCACACCACTTCTGAAAGGTTGCCGACCCCTGGCATAGAGTGTCTTCACCAGATGTGCTGCAGCTGTATCCGTGTAGCAGCCAGGAAGGAGTTAATAGATGGATGAGTCACTGGCATGGCTATGAACACTAAGGAAGCCCCTCACTACCAGACTGGAAGGAAGCTGCCTGAGGTGATAGAGCTCTGGGGAGTAAAGCGCATAAGACAATGCAGCTGTGTGAAAGGTGCCTGCAGACAAGCAGCAGCAATAGATCCAAGCAGTCTGTAGCTACTTAATGCTGGGTCCCTGCCTGGAACCCAGGGGGCAGGAAGGGAGATGTAAGCTTGGGAGTAAAGGAGCAGGGACTACTGAGCCCAGATTGGGGCGGAAAGCCTGATATAAGTTTGTTAGATTTAGGTTTTGTTTGGACTTTTTTGTTACCCTGAAAGGGGTGATGCTCCAAGTGACAGGGCTGAGTCACAAGGATGGACAGGTCACTAAGTGGCCCAAGCTATTGCTCGCAGGGGCTGACCAAGACAGAGGGACTATTAAGTCATGCCAGCCACCCCAAAGCACACTGACCACTGACTGGACCTCCTACATTGTCCTTCATGTCTCCTCCGTTTTCCTTGACAGTCCTTCTAAGAGTAAAATATAAGTCTGCATGTGACTGTAACAGCACTTTGAGATACTGGATCTTAAACTGGAAACTTCGCTTTCAGGGCAAGACTTCCAGAGGGAGCCCTGGCAAAAGACAGCTAGAGAGCAACTGGTGTGCACAGCACACGTTCTCAGCCAGAAGGCTGCCTAGGGCAGGACTCAAACCCACAGCACCTGGGTGCCAATCAGAACAGGTCACCTCAAGGCTGGCTGCTAACACCCTGGACTCACAACAAAGCCCCTGTCCTGATGCATATGCACAAGGGACTTTCTCTGACCTTAGGAAGAGTGCTGTGTCAGCTCCCCACCCCCAGCAGAAGCTGGTCTAATAAAAGATACTTCCTCACCCACCTTCTTTCGCTCTGGCTCATCAATTAAGCTCAAGCCAGCTTAATTTTTTACCCAGAATAACTTTACAGATATTACTTCCTGAAAAGGGCAGGGAGTGCCAGTGCTCCCTGAGGTCAATCCCAAGTGGGTGATTTTAATTTGGGGAGGATCAGAGCCATAGTTTAAGTTGCAGGTGTGGGCAAAATAAGTTATGAGAACCATAATGTTCTGATATCACATGCTCTTTTTTGTAAAAAGTGAATTGATTTATTTGTAGGGGTCCCTCTCACAGGAACCCCTTGCTCAAGGGTACGTATTGGAGGCAGTTACCCTATGCAGCTATGGCTACACTACTATTTTAGTGCATTAGCATATCTGCTGAGCTGGAAATCACACTTGCAGCTCCGGTGCAGACATACTCATACTAAGACTACTTGCCCCAAAGCTTACAAGCTAAACAGACAAGACATAAAAACAAAGCATTGTCCCCATTCTTACAGATGGGGAAATGAGGCACAGAGAGAAAATGGGTAGGATTTTCAAGAGCACTTTAGTGATTTAGAAAGTCAATGGTACTTGGGCTCCTAAATCACGTATGAAAATCCCTTCCTAAGCAACATGCCCAAGAGGGGTTGTGGGTGAGCTGGAAATTGAATCTAGCGCTCTTAACCCCCAATCCAGTGCTTTATTCAAAGACCACCTTGTCCTGACTTTCATACACACTGTATCCCATGGTAATCTACACAGATGAACAAGAATTATAAAGTTAAAAGACAGAAGTCTAGTGTAAGTGCTGTGCAGTCTGGCAACTCCTTAGTGTCTTTATAGGGTGACCAGACAGCAAGTGTGAAAAATCAGGATGGGAGTGGGGGATAATAGGAGCCTATATAAGAAAAAGACCCAAAAATCGGGACTGTCCCTATACAATCGGGACATCTGGTCACCCTATGTCTTTAAGACATTCATGACTGTACAGATATTGTCAGTCTGGGTCAGTGCTTGCACTGAAGCATTCTAGGGAAATACAGGAGGCGGCCATGGCAACACAGAACCAATCGGTTGTAGTTTCACTTCCTGTTTTGAAACTACCAGGGGAACACAGGAAGGCAGAATGCAAGTGCTCTGATAGGAATTTGTCTGTGGCTTTGGGAGGTTTACACCCCATCTCTTATGGGATCTCTCTTGTCCACAAGAGGTCAGGATCACAGCCATGGATCTCTTTAAAAACATGGCACTCTAAGCACATGATGCTAGGGGACTGGTTCACTACTGACAGAGAGCACAATTCATTTGGCCCTTTTGCACCTCCTCTGCCAATGCAAAGGGGTTGTGAACAAAGCAATAACACCTGTCCTGGGAGCCTCTCTACGAGGTACAGGATTGGCTCAGGCGACTTTCTGGGATGTGTGGTCACAAGTGGGGAGCAAGGCACCAGTTATTCCCTGCATGTCACAAAAGCTGTAGAACTCTGGCAGTTCCCTAGAACTGCCCTAGCCTACAATAGCGGTGAACGGGTCCCCAACAGCCCCAGAATCAAGGAGACCAGTCCTCTCCTCACTTCTTGAGTTGATCCAAGAATGAACTGAATTCAGCACCAGGAATGCAGAGTGTGCCTCACTTAATTCCCCAACACCATCTTGAGGTTTCCCTAATGTGCTCCAGTCCAGGATGGCCCAACCTAATGTGATCTGAGATCACAGCTTGAGGCTGTAATTCCTGAACAAACTCTCGCATAAAAGGGGAGTGGGCTTTCTGCCTAAAGAAGGGGATAAATTTCCACAGATTTTTGCATCCGAGGGGGGGGGGAAATCTCTGCAGATTCTCATTCTGCTGCTTCAAACCTGACTGCAACAATTCTGACACGTGTAGGCCCCAATCCTGCAGGAGCATAACTTTATTCAGAGTAGTTAATGGGACTAAAGACAAAGTTAAGGCTGTGCAAGTGTGTTTGTGGGAGCGTGACACAAGTGCAGCCAGGTCTTCCCAAAACATACACAGGGGTTTGTTGATAATTTGACACTTGCATCTATGACATCCAGTGCAGAGCAGTTATCTGGCCTGCAAGCCAGGGCTTTGCAATAACTATTTGCATAAGGAAGCTACATTTCTTACAAGCACTTCCTCGTTCAAGGGCAAGCTCCCACATCAATCCAGCAAATGACTAATCACAGCTGAAAGCCTATTTGGTCTACAAACTAGTAGCGAGTTTACCATCCTGGACCCGACAGGGCTCCGCATAATGCAAACAAGACCCAGTCGGATTATTTTATGTTCTTGTTAATTTCTCTGCTTGACCCAACTAACGCACTGCTCCACGGAGTCGCACTGAACGACCCCCAGCTTCCTTCAAACTCCCGCTCAGCAGAGCAAACAAGCATTTTGCAGAACAAAGGGGGCCCACCAACTCCTTCCCGGGCTCCCTCCGTTAGCGGGGGCTGCTCCGAGCAGAGAGAAGTCATTTGCAAACCTAAGGGAGCATCTGAGGAACTACAGCGGCCGAGAAGCCAACCCCCGCTGCAACATCCGGCCTCCTCCAATAACACCCGGCTTCACGGGCAGGGAGAGGGCTCTGGGGCAGCGACCGGCGCGGCGCCGCCGCTCCTTACCTGCGGGCGGGCAACGGAAGAGCCGAACAGGAGCGCGAGACAGACAGACACACACGCGCACGCGCGCGGCCTCTCTCGCGCACTCCCGGGGAGCGTTCTAAGCCCGCCCTCTCCGGGCCCCGAGCTTCAGCCGCCCATTGGCCGCTCTGCCTCGCTCCGGACGTCCATCAAGCGCTTGTGTTGGCCGGGGCAGCTGGTGGCTTGCAGCGTTTCCGTCGGAGAAGGGGGCCCGGGGAGCTGGCCTGGCCGGGGCCCCCAGTGGCGGTGCAAAGGGGCGGGAGGAGCAAAGCAAAAGCAGGGCGGCTTGGTGCAGGGAATACACAGGCGTGGGGCTCGGGGGCGGAGGTGCGAAGCGGGTGCTTGGGCGCTGGCGCAGGGCCCCGAGGAGGGATGATGTATCGCGTGTGTAAGGATGGACTGTGTGGTCTGGTCCTGCCTCGGCTTTTTTCTCTCCCCAGGCGCCCTGGCTTGCTAAGCAGCCGAGCTGGGAAAACCCCGCCCGGCCGCTCTTATCCAGCTCTCGGAGGCAATGGAAATTCCCATCAGAGGGAAGTTTCCGGTTCCCTGAAGTCTCAGGGGGTAGCCGTGTGAGTCTGTATCTACAAAAACAACAAGTTTCAGAGTAGCCGCCGTGTTAGTCTGTATCCGCAAAAAGAAGAACAGGAGTACTTGTGGCACCTTAGAGACTTAACAAATTTATTAGAGCATAAGCTTTCGTGGGCTACAGCCCACTTCTTCGGATGCATAACAACAAGGAGTCTGGTGGCACCTTAAAGACTAAGATTCCCTGACGTGGTTGTTTCAGCGAGGCTGCTCGTGGAGTCGGTGTCTGCAGTGTAGGGCTTTCCCAGCAGATACTCTGGCTAGTTAGGGAGTAATGGTTGCTGCTTCTCGTTCCCAGTGAAGGTTGCAAATGAGTTTTCACTATAAGCCTGATTTTTATTTTATTTTATTTTATTGTCTCCCCAACCCCCAGAGTCCTCACAGAAAAGGTCAGGTCTGCTTCCAAATGAGTGGGTTAAATCTGGGACTAAAGGAAGACTTTTGTTACAAGAGCTGAAGGACAGTGGACGAAGATTGATTACTTCTGACAGCTTAAAAAGAGAGGCGCCCAATGGTTCCTGTAGCCTAACTTTTTTGCTACTATGTAGCGAAAAAGAAAAATAGATGATAGATGAAACCGACTTTACTGAATTTCCCTCCCTCAGGTTTAGTGCTCAGGGCAGGCATTTAGTTAATAACTTCAGTAATTTGACTTTAACACAGCAGTACGGGATGCAAGAGAACAGGGGTCATTCTCTGCCCCTTCACCCATTCCTGGGAATCTACCTTTAGCAAAGAAGGATGTCTTTATGGTGAGAGGTTTCAGAGTAGCAGCCGTGTTAGTCTGTATCCGCAAAAAGAACAGGAGTACTTGTGGCACCTTAGAGACTAACAAATTTATTAGAGCATAAGCTTTCGTGGGCTACAGCCCACTTCTTCGGATGCATATAGAGTGGATATGTTCTTTTTATGGTGAGCAGAGTTAAGGATGTTTAGGTGCCTTGCTTAAAAAGTGCCATCTTTGCATTTCTTTCTAACATTGGGGAAGGTTGGTTGGTTTTGTGTGTGTGTGTGCTTTTGCTTGTGCATGCATTTTTAAAATATATGTTAACATATTTGAGAGGTTGTATGCACTCAAACCACTTTGCGTCAGCAACCCTGACTTCACCTACGGTACTAGCACTGGCAAGAGTTATAGGCTTGTGCCCCAATCCTGCAAAGACTCATGCACATGCTTAATTTTACACACTCTGATTTCACTCTCAGTGCATCAAATTTAAGCACACACAAGTCTTTGTGTCCTCCACAAGCCCCCGAGAGGGACTGAGGGATCTGCCCCCAAATTGCCGCCGAAGACCCGGACGTGCCACCCCTTTCCGTTGGCCGCACCGGGCACCTGCTTGCTGCGCTGGTGCCTGGAGCCGGCCCTGTACAGTGTATGTTCAAGATGACTGATAAGGGGCCCTGGAATTGAGCTTTGCAGGAGGCCCCAAGGGGACAAACAGTGTCACTGCTGACCACCTGTGAGCATTGACTATCCCATGTTAGTGTTTGCAAGAGTTGGGGGGCTTGCTTGGGTGTCCTGCTAATATTTCATGGCAGTAAATTACATTCTGTCCCTTTAAGGCCCATTGTGTCACTTGGATACAATTTTTTTCCTTCATTTCCTGCCCTAAACTGTTGTGTAGGGGTGCCATGTAGTGTTTAGTAGCTGCTGTGTTCCATCCCAGAAGTGGCTGCATTTCAGATGCAAGTGAAGTGATCTCAATATATTCCTTATCTTCCTCCCAAGGGCTTCTGTGGTTTAGCTAGTTAAGTGTACAAGACACCTCGAGAGCCGCAGATGAACAGGCCTTTAATGCTGGTATTTTTGTAAGACTAGGATTGTAAACATGAAAATATGGTGGTTTCTACCTTAATACCAGCTGTACAGAAAATAGCACATCTGAGATGTGACAATCTCCAACATCAGTCACTTTCTTCAAGGAAGCAAATGGTGCATTCCTGAGGGATCCATTAGAGAACAGAAAGGACCAATCCAACCTGCTCCATAAGCACAGAATGGGGACGTAGCTGGGGAATGTTGAGTCATATTAAATGAATGACTGAACGGAATAAAAGCCCAGGCTGAAACAAAGTGGAGTTGGGTGCTTTTGGTGTTGACAGTCAGCCAGCATCCTCTCGAGGCTGGGCTACGGGAGCTTTTGGCCATGCCTGGGAAAACCAATCTACAGGAACTTCATTTGCACAGGGGAAAAAGCAGGTTTATCAGGGTCTGGTAGGGGACAGCTATGGAATAATCTGCCCACAGGGGAAGTATAGCAGAGCAGCTGTCCCTTTAAGGGCCAAGAGGCCCTGGGACAGTCAGCCCAGTTCAGCTGCACCTGTGCTGGGTGTGGAACTTAAAAAGAGGAGGGAAGTCCAGCACTGGGAGGCAGACATGCCTGTATAGAGGTAGGAAGGCCTGGGAGGGATTGCTTGGGAAAAGCAAGGAGCAACCCAAAGGAGCTTAGGAAGGGTGAAAGCTGAGCCCAGAGGGTGGGCAGAAGAATGCTTAGAATCATAGGGGTAGAAGGGACCACAAGGGTAATTTACTCTAACCCCCTGCCAAGATGCAGGATTTGTTGTTGTGACGTTGTGCAGTCTATATGGTTTTATAAAAACATGATAATAAGTGAATATAATGTAACAGGGATAGTTTTAGAAAAATATGGTAATAAGTGAATATAACCTAACTGGAATATGCTTCATGCAAAAGGTCTCTTGTAAAGTATCATTACAAAGCTGATAATCTACTGAGTATGATCATCTGATTTGTATAAATGTACCACTCGTGTATCTAAAACTAGAAATATAAAATGTAACTCTGAGGGCCTATTGTAATTATGTAAAGTGTGGGCCATTAATGATGGTTTGGAATCTTGGTGACTCCCATTAACAAGGACCATTATCCGCAGATGGCTGTGTTTACCTGTGAGTCTTCCTGTATATGTGTGTGCTGGCAAGTGGGCAGTGAAGTCTTGCAGTGACATGTGATCATGTCACCTGAACTGGAATCCATCTTTAACCTGGTGCTTTTCCAGTGAGGGGGGGTGGAAACCCAGAGGGACAAAGGGTTCCCGCCTTATGCAAAAGATATATAAAGGGGTGGAACAGAACAAAGGGAAGAGAGGAGCCATCATGAAGAATCCCCTAGCTATCACCTGAGCTGGAACAAGAGCTGTACCAGGGGAAAGAATTGTGCCCAGGCCTGGAAAGTGTCCAGTCTGAGAAAAAGCTTACTGAAGCATCTCTGAGGGTGAGATTATCTATATTCAGTTTGATTAGACATAGTTTTGCTCATTTTATTTTGCTTGGTGACTTACTTTGTTCTGTCTGTTACTACTTGGAACCACTTAAATCCTACTGTCTGTATTTAATAAAATCACTTTTTATTTAGTAATTTACTCAGAGTATGTATTAATACCTGGGGGAGCAAACAACTGTGCATATCTCTCTATCAGTGTTATAGAGGGCGAACAATTTATGAGTTTGCCCTGCATAAGTTTTATGCAGGGTAAAATGGATTTATTTGGGTTTAGACCCCATTGGGAGTTGGGCATCTGAGTGCTAAAGACCAGCAAACTTCTGTGAGCTGTTTTCAGGTAAACTTGCAGCTTTGGGGCAAGTGATTCAGACCCTGGGTCTGTGTTGGAGCAGACGGGAGTGTCTGGCTCAGCAAGACAGGGTGCTGGAGTCCTGAGCTGGCAGGGAAAACAGGAGCAGGAGTAGTCTTGGTACATTGGGTGGCAGCTCCCAAGGGGGTTTCTGTGATCCAACCCGTCACAGTTGTGTCTACTCTAAACCATGCAAGACAGATCACTATCCAGCTTCCTTTTGAAAACCTCTAATGAAGAAGCTTCCATGATCTCCCTAGGCAGTCTGTTCCATTCTCCTACTGTTCTTACAGTTAGGAAGTTTTTCCAGAGATTTAATCTAAATCCTGCTATGCTGTAGCTTGAATTCCTTGTCCCGCCTTCTGTGGCAAGAGAGAACAACTTTTCTCCATCTTTTTTATGGCAGCCTTTCAAGTATTTGAAGACCATCATCATGTCCCCTTTTAATCTCTTCTCCACATTAAACATACCCAGTTCCTTCAGCCTTTGCTCGTATGGTTTGCATTCCATCCCTTTGATCATCTTTGTCACTCACCTCTGGATCCTTTCCAGTTAAACTATATCCTTTTTATACAGCAGTGACCACAGTACTCCAGCTGAGGTCTAACTGGCTCTGAGTAGAGTGATACGATCACGTCCTGTGACTTGCATGTTATGCCTCTGTTAATGCTATGCTACCTAAAATTGCATTTGCCTTTTTTTTTATTTTATTTGCAGCAGCATTGCATTGCTGACTCAAGTTGAGGTTGTGATCCACCACAACTCCCAGATCCTTCTCAGCAGTGATGCTGCCAAGCCAGTTATCCCCCATTCTGTATTTGTGCGTTTTTTTGCACCTTACATTTCTTTGTTGAATTTAATTTTTTTGAGTTTAGCCCAGTTCTCCCAGTTATCAAGATCCCTCTGAATTTTAGCTCTAGCCTCCGAAGTGTTGGTAACCCCGCTTCCCGTCTCAGCTTTCTGTCATCTGCAAACTTGATCAGTATGCTCTCTATTCCTACATCTAGGTAATTAATAAAGATGTTAAATAACACCAGACCCAGAAGAAATCCCTGTGGAACCCCACTTGAGACTTCCCTCCAATCTGACATCATTCCATTAATAGTTACTCTTTGTTTGCGGTTGTTTAACCAACTATGTATCTACTGAATGGTAGTTCCGCCGAGCCTGCATTTCTTCAGCTTACTTATCAGAATATCACGTGGGACTGTGCCAAAAACCTTGTAAACATCCAGGTATATCATGTCCACCACATTTTGCCCCATCCGCCAAATCAGTTACCCTATCAAAGAGGGAAATCAAGCTGGTTTGGCATGATTTGTTCTTAGTAAA